AGCAGGAATAGCTTCATGGAAAGTGTGACTTGACCTTCTGCTTTCAGATGCATTCCTGGAGCTATCCGATGATCTCTTGAAACCAGAACTTGATATCCTTAAGCTTAGGGTTTGTCTAGATGCCTCCCCTAGAGTCTTGGCAGAGTTTTAGAAGTCTACGGTTGCAAAGATAAGATTGTATCCAGCCTCCTGCTGTTTGAGCTGAGGTTGTGATTTCTCATTTTTTTGTGTGTATGCATTTTTAAAATTTTATTTATTTTTCTATGCCATGAGTGAGAGAGACAGAGAGACAAGACCCCCAATAGGATCCCAATGCCATGATCCACCTCCAGCCCCAGCCGGCGCTGGATCTTGGGTATACATGTGCCTAACGTACTCAGGGAAGTCGTCTTCAGACACATACGCAGAACCTTCCCATGAAGGTCAGCTCTGCAGTGTCTGTCTCATTTTATTCCCGTGCCACCATCCAGCCCCATCTCCATCTTATTAGAAGGAGTGGCTTCCCTCATGCTCAGAACAGGCCAAGCTTCGCATCCCTCATATGCCCCACCCCACACTCTCCCCACCCTTACACACATGCAGACCCCCATAGGCAGAGGGCTCTGCCACAGTGTCCTCGACCTCAGGGAAAAAGTATGAACCCTGTATTTAATACACATGCTCCCTTGGCTTCAAGAATGATCTTTCATTCAAAAACTGCTTTAGTCTTGGTGGCAGGCCTTGTAGTGCATGCATGGGTGTGGAATTGAAATGACAGCATGCTTTAATCATGTTAGAATTCCTGGTGTTTGTATAGTTTCTTTCTTTAAGGAACAAGAGGACTTTTTGGACATTTTAAGCATCCTCAGGTAATCTACAAATCAGATACTTGTTAGGATATGCTATAGAATCTTGGGTTTAGGTTCAAGGAGACAGAGGAGAATTGTTCTGGTTAAAGTCAGATGTGGAGGGATGGCAAATGGAAGGGAAATGATGAGAAATTCTATCTTAACCAGAAGTCAAGGTGATTAGAGGGCTCTCTGGGACATCTAACTGCGTAAGGGGGACAGATAAGCACTTATAACCTCCAGACTGTTTTAGACACCTTCTCAGAGATCCTCCCTCCCTCCCCTACTTTCTAGTTTACCGAGTGATTGCCCGAGAGTCCTTTAGCCAGGCTCTTGGTCTGACACAGGAGCTTCCTGAATTGTACAGACAGCTCTGCCCCTGTCTGCCCCTCTCTGGCTGGGCCTCCACCACCTTAGGGCTTCATTAGCTGCTAATTTCCATGGAAGCAGAGTCAGGATAGTGGTCCTAACACGTGTCCATACCTTGGTCTGGCCCAGGCTTACATCCCAAAGGGTGGGGCCAAGTTTCCCTGTAGCTGAACATTCTCATCAGTGATCTCTGCTGCGGTGGGATTCTCTGCTTCAGAGGTGGAGATGGGATCGTTGGGCCAGTTTGGGACAGTGGACAGACACTGGCTCTCAGGTTACTGATGGGGCCAAGGGCACACTCTTCTGCCTTATCTCCTGAGCCTTAACTCCCAAAGTAATTATGTTAGGAAGTGTTTATAATCTGTCCCCATGGGTAGGTATTTTAGCTTAATTTATACTTCATTCCTTCATGCAAACAACAGAAATTTGTCTGCGTTTGAATTTCATACAAATCTATGTTTAACAAAACGTTGAGGAGATGCTTTTGATTGTTTTACTTTCGAAAGTTCTGCGAAGCTGAGGTTGTTTAAAAATAGCATGCCAATTTCTTTCTTTCTTTTTTTTTTTTTTTTGAGAGAGTTTCACTATAGGGCACATGTGCTCGCCAGACAGACAGAGAGAGACATAGAGACAGAAAGCGAGAAATCCCCCCCCAGGGGGGATGGCCACGCCGCAATCCCTTCTCCTCCATTCTCCTCTCGGGATCTTGGGCACGCACGCACACGCGCCTGGCGTGAGTTTTAAGCCACCGGGTCTGGGACACGAACCGCGGTCGACTACGTGGGAGTCCAGCGACATAGCCATTACGCTAACTGCTGGTTCCCAACATGCCAATTTCTGATGCATAGGCTTCCAGAACATATAAGGGGACTTTGAAAAGTTTGCAGGGGAACCAGCAGTTAGCGTAATGGCTATGTCGCTGGACTCCCACATAGTCGACCGTGGTTCGCGTCCTGGACCCGGTGGCTTAAAACTCACGCCGGGCGTGTGTGTGCGTGCACAGGATCCTGAAAAAAGGAAAAGTTTGCAGAAGTGTCTATTATGGAGAAGTTTTTGCTACAGGGCGTGTGCACTCACCAGATGGACAGAGAGAGACATAGAGACAGAAAGCGAGAAATCACCCCCCAGAGGGGATGGGCATGCCACAATCCCTTCTCCTCCATTCTCCTCTCGGGATCTTGGGCACGCACGCACACGCGCCTGGCGTGAGTTTTAAGCCACCGGGTCCGGGACGCCAACCATGGTCGACTACGTGGGAGTCCAGCGACATAGCCATTACGCTAACTAACTGCTGGTTCCCTAGAAGTGTGTATTATGAAAAACGTCATGCATGATTTCACTTCTTTGCAATAAAATTAACTCATATTTTAATTTCATTTTTCCATGAACTTTTTAAGGTCCCCTCATATATACTGAAAGAACGAATGAAAAAGGCATGCTTTTTCCCTTATTATTAGGATTAAACACAATCTATGTCTTTTGCAGCCCAGGTGTCCCAAGTAGGGCCGTAAAAAAAAATTAAAAGCTATTAACCCAGCAGCAATGATAATCCATCTTGCTCAGTGGCTGTGAGGAAGGCAGACAGTTTACATCCAGTTAGTTGCAGAAATCCTTTTTGTGTTTGGACATTTTAACCATCCTCAGGTAATCTACAAATCAGATACTTGCTAGGATATGCCGTAGAATATTGGTTATGCCTAGAACCTTTGGTTATGCCTAACCAAAAATAAACCAACTCCTTCAGGTGGTAAATTCTCAGAACTTTTAAGACATGCTCTCCTCCTAGTAATGTTTATGTATTACTCTCCTAATACACAGAGGAGGAAGAAAAAAAGTAGTTACTGGCTCATTTCCTTGGTTTGAATTGCATTTCAGACATAGAAGAAAGTTGATCTCATGGCGATAGGATGCCATGATTTACCACTTATAAACCACCTTGCCGTACCTTATTTCATTTGACCTTCTCAATGACCTTGTGGTTGAGTGAGCGCCCTGTTCAGACCTAAGGGGACAGGTGCACAAGGGCTCTGTACTTAGCGTAAGTGTCCTGGACACAGGGGCAGAGCTTGGACTCAGGCCACCAGGTTTGACCCTAACTGCAGCAGGACTGGATTATCCTCAGATGAGAAGATGCTGGAGGGAGCATCATCCCGCAGAGGCCCACAGATCATGTCAGGGCACACTTGCAATGTGGCACTGGATATGCAGTTGGTCACTGACTTTTCCTGACTCTTCCTTGTCACACCACTTTTTACCTCTTCCATGGGGTTGGTGGCAAGAGAGGAGAGGTCAAGGCAGAGCGGAAGGAGGAAAGTTGTGAGGTGCACCTGTCTTTCTGCTAAATGGTGAGTGTGGCAAGAATGTGGCAGAGTGAGCCATGTTTTTTGAGTGCGAAGCTACATCACCCCTACAAGTGACAACCTGAAAGAGTCAGTTCTTTCTTGATGGGTTGAGTTGCTCAAAGGATGGCTGAGAGCCTGGACAGCCTGTTGGATGCTCCTCCTCCCATGGGCTGATGGGGTTGAATTGCCATGGAGCTGTCATCCAAGAGTTCTCTGTCATAGGGAAAGCCTTTGCTGAAGTTTTTGTGCCCCGTCAGTCTTTTGGAACTTCTGATAGCCAATCAAAGAGGAATAATTTGTGACATTGGTCATTTTTCCCACTTGTAGAATGTGAGTAGTAAAACCAAGAGGGTTCATATTGCTTCAAGGCATAGAGACCTGCACTGGCAAAGCAGAGTTTATTTTTCCTTTTGATCCCAATAGTGCCTTTTTTACCCCAACCAAGCAATGTGGGCTATTAGCAGCAGAGAATGCTTTGGGGACCTTCCAGAACCCTCTGGTATTCTTCTCCTGTCTTACAATGAGAACCACTTCTCAGGTCATGAAACACTTGACTCTAACCAACATGTACCTCTCTACCTTGGGTCTCTGAGTTTAATTTCCTGCTGTGTTACTGTAACTAAAGGAAAAGGAAATGCAGTCACAGGCTTTGAAGTTGCACTTCTGTGGCAAGAAGTTGTGAGCACCTGGGATCTAGGTTTGCAGTGATCAGCATATACTAACTGTCAGGGCCTGGTACCGACCCATCACCTCGACTTCCAAAGCACATCATCACATTTTCCATCCTTATGTCATTCTTGTGGTACATTGGTGATAGGAGATGGGAAGAGGGAGAGCTGAATTTCTCTGTCACTGCTGTCTCAGCAAATCAGTGGGAAGCTGGGCTCTGATTTGGGGTTGCCTAACCTTCCCATCCTGTTTGTACCTTGTGGATTGCTGTCACTTTGAATGAGGGAGGTCTGCACTGTAAGGGAAGACCTCTGGACCCTGGACCCAGTGTATTATGCCAGCTTTGGCCAGGGGTTCCAATGTCTCGGTGCTGGTGATCGACCAGATTGGATCCATAAAGTGAGGAGTCACCCGTTACCAATGGGTGTTGGATTTCACTTTATGTTCTCTTTATTCACTCATAACTTGGATGATAGTTTCCATGTGCACGTTTCTTTTTTATTCCCAACTAATTTTTGGATTCTTTTTTTCCATGACAAAGCAACAAATGGTAGGCCTTTCCTAGGTCCCCTCCATGGCGGCCTGGACTCACCTCTGCTTTGTCTTGGCTTTCTTCTCCATGCATCTCCAAAGCACTGACAGAAAGATTGGTGTTTTGTGTTTTTGTGTGTGTTTTTGGGGGCGAGGTGTGGGGGATCATCAAAAACAGGAGCATTTGGTATTTTCAAATAACCCTTCTCTTGGGCTGTTTTCTCCTGGCAGGATGACAGTGCCGATCTGAAGTGCCAACTTCAGTTTGCCAAAGAGGAAGCTTCCCTGATGCGCAAAAAGATGGCCAAGCTGGGGAGGGAGAAAGATGAGCTGGAACAGGAGCTCCAGAAGTATAAGTCCCTCTATGGTGATGTGGACAGTCCCCTCCCAACTGGGGAAGCTGGCGGGCCCCCCAGCACCAGGGAGGCAGAGCTGAAGCTGCGGCTGAAGTTGGTGGAGGAGGAAGCCAACATCTTGGGCCGGAAGATTGTGGAGCTGGAGGTGGAGAACCGAGGCCTCAAGGCAGAAATGGAGGACATGAGGGGCCAACATGAGCGAGAAGGTTCAGGCCGGGACCACATGCCAAGCATTCCTACCTCACCCTTCGGAGACTCCCTGGAGTCTTCCATGGAGCTCCGCCGACACCTGCAGTTTGTAGAAGAGGAAGCAGAGCTGCTTCGGAGGTCCATCTCTGAGATTGAAGACCACAACCGACAGTTGACCCATGAGCTGAGCAAATTCAAGTTTGAGCCTCGCCAGGAGCCAGGGTGGCTTGGAGACGGTGGAGGTAAGGGTGCCAGCAACGGGGCCCCCCTACAGGAGGAGCTGAAGTCTGCCAGGCTGCAGATCAGTGAGTTGAGTGGGAAGGTGCTGAAGCTGCAGTACGAGAACCGGGTGCTTCTGTCCAACGTCCAGCGCTATGACCTGGCTGCTCACCTGGGTCTACGTGCCCCGAGCCCCCGGGACAGTGACGCTGAGAGTGACGCAGGCAAGAAAGAGAGTGATGGGGAGGATGGCCGTCTGCCCCAGCCCAAGCGGGAAGGCCCCGTCGGTGGGGAGAGTGACTCAGAGGACATGTTTGAGAAGACGTCAGGATTCGGCAGTGGAAAGCCTTCGGAGGCCAGCGAGCCATGCCCTGTGGAGCTCCTGAGGGCTCGTGAGGACTCGGAGTGCCTGGTGACCATCAAGCACGAGGCCCAAAGGCTGGAGCGAACCGTGGAGCGCCTCATCACAGACACGGATGGCTTCCTCTATGATGCAGGGCTGCAAGGCAGCAGTGCCACCTCCCCAGGCGTGCAGGGTGAAGGGGAGTGGGGTGAGGGGGTCCAGAAGGAACCCCACCTCCTGGGGACCATCAACAGCAAGATGAAGGCTTTCAGGAAAGAGCTGCAGGCCTTCCTGGAGCAGGTGAACCGGGTGGGGGACGGCCTGTCTCCCTTGCCCCACCTCACGGAATCTTCCAGCTTCCTCTCCACTGTGACTTCTGTGTCCCGGGACTCCCCCATCGGGAACCTGGGGAAGGAGCTGGGCCCAGACCTGCAGGTAAGGGGGCTCCTGGCTTTGCCTCCCTGCTCCGTCTCGCTCTTCCTCCTCCTTGCTGGCATTGCTGCGCTCGGCCTCACGCTGCTCACGGCTGCTTGGTTATGATTTCAAACTGCATTGTACTAAAGCCTCAAGGGGCAACCAAGGCCTTTCTATTGGTTGGGTTTTGTTTGCTTTTCTTTCTTTTTTTTTTTTAAGTTCTCTTTTATTTCCTCGTTCCTTTCCCCATCCCTTTCCGATTTTTAACTGCACTACTGTTCGTGGTGTCGAGACCCTCTCGTGGCACGAGGCTAAACGCAGTGGAAGCGATAGGGATCAACGCAGCCCATCCTTGCTCCTTTCTTGGTGTCTCAAACAACCAGCTTCCCCGATGAAGAAGCAATGAGGAATTCAAATACAAGCTCATGTCACAGTCAGGATAATTAGCAGACTCGCTAAGAGCGCTCACACCCCTACTGGGGTTCATTGCCAGAGGGACACAGTGCAGTTCTGAAAGGCCCTAGGCAGCCCAGGCCCACCCGCTCCCACTGGAGGATGAGCCAGGATGGGAGAGGAGCACAGTTCTGAGAGAAGGATGTTTTTGGTGGAAAAATCTCGCCGCCAGCTCGCTCCTGCCGCCCTCCCGAGGCGAGCGTGAGGGCAGAGTGGAGTAGTCTTCCAAGGACCGCTTACCCATGCATCGCCCTTGGGTGCATGACCTGCCTGCCGCCCCGGATTATGGCTTTTGCTGCTCGACCCACAAGTAAGGAAGGAAGAGCCTTGTTTTCCGTATCCATCATGAGAAGTCTGCTTGCGGTTGAGTTTTGGATTCATGCATCCCCATTGCATGCGCTTCATAACCAGTGTTTTGCATTCTTTCCCCCCTTCTCTTTCTCTTTTTGCTTTTCAGATGTTTCAACCCATCCTTTTGCTCATCCTCATTTCCATTCTGTTCTCTTCACTCTCTTATGCCACTGTCTTTATGTTGGTTTTTCTATTCATGCTTTTCTTTGTCTGGTAGATTTTTCAGTTGTCTACCTTACCCATATTTGTTTTCTTCATCCCCCTGACCCCACCCCAACTCCCTTGTTCTTTGTTTTTTTTGTTTAAAATTAAAAAAAAAAAAAAAAAAAAAAAAAACAAAATGACCCCCATCCCACCCAC